TCCGGACGGAAAGCAGATCATTTCGGGATCCGCTGATCTGTCAATTTGTATCTGGAATGGAGAGACAGGGGAATGGATCGGGTCTCCCTTTGAAGGTCATACGGATACGATCACGTCCCTCGTAGTTTCCCCTGACGGCAAATACCTCGCCTCAGGGTCGCATGATAAGGTGATACGGATATGGGATTACGATAAAATGAAAAATCAAGTAAGGCTTTTATCTACTTTCTTTGTACTTGCCTGATTTGGTGATTGCCTTTTCATCCGTTACAACATTCAGCAACCATCTCCTCCATTTTCCTATAATTCCAAGATGGTCAGTGGGTGGATACTTGGCCCAGACTCCGAGCTCCTCTTCTGGGTCCCACCAGAGCTACGTCATGGACTCTGGCGACCCAATAACGTGGCTGTGATGGGCAAGGTGATCACCACAAAACTTGATTTCACGCATTTCGTCCATGGAGAGTCCTGGACACTTTGCAAAGAACAACCGAGCTCTCATTCCAATCAATAACCGTTTTTCCCTGACGTCCACTCTCATTGCCACTGGAGCTGAGTTTCTAGAAGTTGCGTCGAACAAATCAACCAATCCGCTTATTCCAATGTAGTTGATATTCCAGGTATATAGGTGTTTCTGTCATTTTAGGGACAAGACCTATGAACACTGTCATTGTGTACCGGCAAATCCAGTGTCATATTACGAACACGAGCTTTTGTTAATGAAGCTGAGTCAATTAGCCCGAAAATTGAACAATCAAAAGGAAATATACCTTTTGCTCGTCCTCTTCACTGCACGCAGGACAGTTTCGCCGAAGGCCACCCCTAATTGAAGTGAACGAAAGCGAGCAGTGGCTGGGTTGGAATCTGGCAACAGCCACGAACTTCAGCCAAGTTTCACCCACTAATAGATCTCGCATTGAAAGAGTTATCGACCAGAGCCAGCGCCGCACCTAATTTTCGATCAGTGCAGTATGGGACGGTCAAAGGCAACCGGAGAATCCCAGAGTGCTGGGATGGAGTGACATATGGCTTTGGGTCGCATATCGATTGGCAGATGATGGACTGATAAAACCAACCCCTAGATTCGTTCCATTCTTGCTAGTTTTGCTTTCCATGCCGGTACTGCGTCCCAGCGTGCTTCCTACATGAAATGTATGGACCCTGGGCAGATGCCACGGTGCTCAAGATATACTTATTCTAGGCCATTTTGTCAAACCCAGTTTTTTCCCCTCAGACATCTAATCGCCATGAGGTGAGCCCACCATCGCAACTGCCCCTTTTTATTCTTACCGACTATTCAGTGTACTGATATTAAACGGTGAGGTGAAGTGATTTTATGCGAAAATTTGGTGCGGCGCTGGCTCTGGTCGATAACTCTTTCAATGCGAGATCTATTAGTGGGTGAAACTTGGCTGAA